CCACTACCTCTCTCTCTCTCTCTCTCTCTCTCTCTCCCCACACACACATACACAAAAACACGTGTGTGCGCATACATGCACATGCAGGTACCTACACAAGTCGCAGCCTCAATTTCATTGCATGATAGGTAATTTCAGTTATCACAGCAAAAAAACAGTGTTGGAGAAAATCAAATTCCACAATAAAGCCAGCCAGATAGTTTAAGGATAATCCCAAGAAATACATGCAATTCAAAAGAAAGATAAGCTCACGTACCAATAATGCAGATAAGGTCGATTTGCCACAACCACTAGTACCACACAGCAGAATGGTCACAGATTCCTTCCTTTCCCGTACTCTAAAACAATGACAGAAAGCATATAAGACATAGCAGCGAGTTACTGACATTACCTGTAAAACTTAAGCATAACCAAAGGAATTGCCATATGATGAGTGTCCATAAAATAAAAGGAGAAGAAAAAGGTAGGCGGAGGAATCACAGAGATCTAGCATATGAATACTCCTTATAATAAGAAGATAGTTGAATGAAGGTGTATCAATAATCTTAATTACTGCAAGTATAGAAATGAAGGTGCATAACTACTCCAAATTGCTGATGTACCATGGCAGAAGTATTATATTTATATTTATACAGTAACTGCAGGAAGACAAGTAACAAATGCCTTCTATAACTTCATTCAAAGATGACTAAATTGTGTAGCTAAGAGACCTTTCTCATTTGGACTTCTGCTTAGAAGTGTTTTTACAGATGTCATATTGAGGGGATATACACAACCTGTTTTAAGGGCATTACTGTTCATATTGTATTTCTTGCTTTTTAGTCTCTCGGAGTGTGTAATGCAGTTAGCCATCTTTCAATTTTCATTGCTAGACTCTCGCTAAAGAGCAGTTGCATCATTTTCACATATTGTCTTATTCATTTTTTTTGATAACTGTTAACTTTATAAAAGCGAACACAGTACAAGGTACATAAAGTTCGATACAGTTGGCCTCTAAGCTTAGCCCAGCCTGTATCGTGGTCCCTGAGGGGAGGACCAAGAGCAGTCCAGTCACAACTTGAACTCTACATTAAAGTAGTTTACATGGTGAGGCTTATAGAACTGCCCATATACAAAAGCGGACAAAAGGATGAAGGGCCTATAGATGCCCTTGTACATAGTCCATCTAAACTAAGCATTCTGTGAAGAAGATTGGCGTGCTGCCACATATTGTCTTACTTATTTTTTGTTCATTACCTTGATCTCAAAAAAAAAATCATTTTCTTTGCCAAACAGCTTGCAAAACTTAACATGGTATAATGTACAAATCTTGGTATCCACATCAATGCAAGACAAATGGTTTTCTGTAAACCATTAAATAAAAGTGGGAAGAATTCTCAAATAACACTGAAAATTGACTAAGCTGTTAATGTCAACCTTTGATAAGTTCCTTTCTGCATCATCGGGGAACATTTCTATTTCTCTCTTGGTATCTGTACTCCAGCAATGTAGCATGCAATATCCATTCTGCCCCACACACATGAAGACCTCTGTTAACCCTGGAATTGATCGTCAGATCACCCAAGGACATCATATTTTATGTATTCATGCAAATATTTGAGCAAGGATTGGAAAGCACTCAATTTTTTTAATTTTTGCTTCCCGTGAGCCAAAATTTGAGTTTGCTCTTTCGAGGGTCAACAGCAAAGGGTCAAGTACTTTGCAAAGTTTGATTTGATTAGATCACAAAGTTTGTCATGATCAAGAACGGAGAAGAATCATTCAATGGTACTATTTTCAATAGTGTTAGTTGTTTGATCAGACAGCTATGGTAGATGTCCTTTCAATACAGTCCAGTAGGTAATATTGCCATTAAAACGCTGTTTATCTGCCACTCATAGATAAAACAATTTCACTGTCTAATCTAATTCGCTTCCTTTATATAGCTATGTCAAAAAGTTCGGTCAGCTCAAATGTCACGACATGCAGGTATTCAACACAAAAAATACAACACAATAAAATAAAAGAAGCCTTTATCTTTTGATGGTCAGTTAAATAAAGGAAACATATGAATTTGAAGTTGAAGTCACCACCTAATCCTCTTAAAACTACAAGTTCATTGAAGTGGCAACCTAATGCAAGTCAGAGCATGAAAAGTTTTCAGGTATAAACATTAAATATGATGTAAAACAATGAAGATCCCATACCTGCAAGCCAGAACCAAATCAGCTCTTTGATTTGGACCAACATATTTGTATTCAGAAAGAGCATCACAAACAACATCTAAGAATGTCTCTCTACTAACAACAACAGTGGTGCGACTTTTGTACAACTCAAATGGCAAATTGTTAATCTTATCAGCTTGTTTACGGATCAAGGGCTCATCAACCTCTGCTGGCCCTGTGGAACTTCTTGTGCTAAATCCTTCACATGAAGATCTTTCAGAATCACTTGCTCTTAATATGTCCTCTTTATCAGAAAACAGATTGTTGCTAGAAAACTCGCTTCTCATAATTTCAAAAACCCTCTTGCTTATCTGATGATTGAGAAAAAATGCTAGTTAGTCATTGACAATCTCTTAGATCCCACAAAATGAAAGATCTGTATCTTAAATCCCACAAAATGAAAGACAATAACTATAAAAAATGTTTAAATAACACTATTATGCCAAAAAATCGTTAAATAACAATATCATGTCAAAATAAAAGCTCAATCGATAAATTCAAACCAAGAAAGAAGCACATTGCATCAATTGCATTGTCATCATTAACATAAATATTCTGCTAACCTGGTTCAGAGTGACGCAATGATATACATTACTTAAGCCATATTTAAAGCACTTATCTTTACCTCAACTTTTCAACAAGTATAAAAGAGTATGGGGATGAGAGAGCAAATTTAGATCGAAATTTAGCATCGTTGTCACCAATTACTCCATCATGCCTCCACTGAGAGGTACAGTGGATTTCTGCCCCATGACAACTTTTGCCTCTCAATCATTCCTTGTAGATCACAATACTCCAAATGGTAGCCCTTGGGATAATCCATGAAATTCTCTTACAAGCTTCCCAAAACCGTTAGTGCTTTCACCTCTATTATGTTTTTTTTTCACCAATAGTTAACCATGAGTATTTTCATCTAGTAATATGTATCCAGGGGTCAAAATTATACTCCTGTCTGCTTTCTGATTCCCATGACAATGTTGGGGCTATTGCATGACATCTTAATGAGAGAACTCCTCATTTCCCAGTCTCATTTTCATTTAGCTTAACAGGGAAGTACAACAATGTTCATAAAAGTTTCAGCTAAATTATTAGATACATATTGTGAAAAGAACTTGTTTGAATGAAGGCTATGTGCATTTTGTAAAGAGTTCAGCAAAAGGATTTTCAACCAGTTTTATTACCATGCAAATCAATGAGTATATGCTTCAGATGGATAGTGATAAATCTTGACCCAGGATGAAATTTGTCATAATTACTGAAATGGATCTCGATCCCCATTGAGTGGCAGTGGCATATAAAGTTAAAAGAAGCACAACATAACAGAAGTTAACAAAATGGGGACTTCAATTTGGAATAATTTCACCTGCAAATAAATATATTTAAATGACTTTTACAGATACACAATTGGGGGTATCAAGAAGCAGATTAAGCAATTAAGTGTTTGTCAGCAAAGCACAAACTCAACAATCAGTGAACAACAGTTTAAGAAAAAATCCTCACCTTGAAAGCATGGCGTGCTTTGCACCCCATGGACTGCAGAGTACTCTGTAGCACGGATCGGGTGTACCGATATGGTTTATTGGCCTTTGCATCCTTCCTTTCCCCTCCCACACTCTCTTGAATTCCATCATCAACTACTATATACAATAGCTTTGGCACATCTGCCATTTCACCAATATCTACAAATCCAGCTTTAGAGCCAAGAAAGGGGTTAAATGTTAGATCTGAATACGGAAAATTCCCACCAATATAGCTTCAAGCAACAAGAAATAATAAATTTTTTTTTAAAAAAAAAGACAAAAATGAAATGAAGAGATCTCCAGCTAATTGCAATTGAAATCAATAAAATCAAGCTTTAACTTTCCAGGAAGTAAAGGAGAAAAAGAAGGAATCTAAAGCTAATACGAATAAAGGTCAATGGAACCAATCCATTAAGGCAAGCTAAACAACCTAAGGCCCAAAAGACACAACAAAAAAGACAAATCCTTCCACCAATAAAGCTTGAGATGTTCTAGTCATTAGTATGAGAAAAAACAATATAATCATGAAATTCTACTAGTAAAAAAAAAAGGGCAATTACAGTACCTGAAAAGAAAACAAAAGACAAGTATAAGAAATGAAAAAAAGAAAAAAAGGAAAAAAATATATTCAAAATATACCATATCCAAGAAAGGAGATAAAAAAGAAAAAGAGGGTATCCGAGTTACTTCAACAAAAGATCGGCACAACTGGAATCACTCAACAAACAGAGAAAATGGAAAATCAAAGATACTGCACCATAGAAAATTGATACCCGCTAAATTTCTATTTTTTCCCTTAGCACATAGCATTATAGGACTGACGAACAATATGGACGCTCTTGTGTTGCACTTTACACCTACATGTGAATCACAGAAAGAGAGCGGGAGAGACCCAAAAAGTCTCACAAAATGATGAATATCCAAAAAGATTAAAGGACTTCATCTGTTGAGCCATGGAAAATAAACCAACGGAGAAGCAGGAGAATTCCAAAAAAAATAATATTTGAGCAAGCATCTAAGCTGAATGACATAATAATGTCATATTCTACCAACAATTGACACCGTTAACTTCCTGCAAAAATTCAAGTTCAACAAAAAATCCATAAAAAAAAAATGTAAAAATCAACAAGGAAAAAAAAAGATACTTTGCTCATAAATGGATCAAAAAATCTGGTACCCATCTAATTTTAAAGAAGAAAGCACCTAATTATAAAGAAGAAACAAAACCTGACTCCAAAAGCAACTCAGGAACCCTAAAACCCCTCGTACCCCTCGTAAAAGAGAAAAAAAAAAAAATTAAAGAAAAAGGCCACCAAGTAAAAAGAAATATAAAGCCTAACTGTCAGTGCAATGTACCAACTCAGTGACAGAGAAGGCATCCATCTAAACAATGCAGGTCAAATAAACAAGAGATCGACACTCAAATTATCCAAAAAAGATAAATTTACAGAGAAATTAGTACCTTGAGATCAGATCTGAGTTATTTTCATGGAGAATAGCTCGGCCATCTCATAAAGAGGAGAGGCGGCCTCTCTACTAAGCCTTAAAGATCCGCAATTTGTAACATGAATCCGCCATTGCCTGACACGCGATCTCCACACGTCGCCTGTAGATGCCGCCATTACTGCTTCCTTCTAAGATAGGGTCAAAACCAGATAAATTAGGGTTTTCCCTGCATCTCTCTCCTTTTTCTCTCTCTCTACTTTTGTCTATTTCTCTCTCTTCAACTGTTGAATCCCCTAGACAAAAGCGCCCAGACTATTTATAGTGTTCGATGGCCCGGTGGGGCCACCAAATAAGAGCGAGAACAAAATAAATGCCAATAGTACCCCAAAATTTCTTAGAAATTTCAACGGCATCTTTATATTTATCTAAATTTTCAATGGCATTTTTGTATTTATCAAAGAAAAATTATTTAATGCAGGGTGGACTGCATTTCTACATATGAGGTCCTCTACATACGAGGTCCAAAACGTGTAAAGCATCCATCTTCAAGATGGGTACAAGTAGGTGTTCCATCTAAAAATAATGAAAATTAATAGTCCAAATGTTTTTTTACTACAATTATTATTTTTAGTTTTAAAAATTTATTTATTTATTCATATCCATGATCTTCATTTTAGAGATTACGTGTCCTTAAAAACTGTCACACCCCATGAATTTACAATACTGTTATTCCTGAGATGTAACAAACAAAACATATATAAATCTATTGATAGGACAAATTTACAGTGGCGAGGTCTTACAAAGTAAATAAAGAAAGCTAGCACAATAACAGTATCTTCCAAGGTTGATCTTGACTAGCACTCAAAATGAATCTGCAGTTATCCTGAAAAAATATTTACCATAGTTTGATGAGTTTGGCTACTCAGTAAGTGATCATCATAATCCTAAAAATAATCATGATTGAAAGATATCAATATTTTCCAAAATGAGATCTATTAACAGAAATGCATCAATAGTTTCACTTTCAATAAATGCATAATTAAGTATGATCCGAGTAATTGAAATGCTTATAACACTCTTAACGGCAGTGCATAATTCAAAGGATTTCATAAAATACCCTACTGGCGTCCCAAGTAGGTCACCTATATACCACATCAGCGTCCTGATGGGTCCACTTAATCCCTATCGGCGTCCCAGATAGATCCACTTAATCGCTGCAAGGTCCACTTATACCTCACCGACGTACCGGATGAGTCCACTTAATCCCTACCGGCGTCCCAGATAGGTCCACTTATACCTCACCGGCGAACCGGATGAGTCCACTTGCATACTTAAATTATTTCTAAATCTCTTTAAACATTCGAAAGCAGTAATATCATGTACTCAACATATCACTGAAATCATCAATATGAATTTCACTTAAACCATTAATAACAGTCACTCTCTATAACATTTCAAAAATAACCAATCAAATATTTTGGGCTCAAATTTAGAAAGGTAGCAGTTTGTAAAGGCATTCTAGCATAATTGCCAATTTAATATGTATAGAAAACTCTTATAGAAATTCAAGAATACGGAATTATCACAATTTATGGGATATCAATCCACAAATAAACATTTCACAACAATACTATAATCAATTGCAAAAATGTCAATAATAAGGCAATCATTTGCACATGAATTTTACAATGTCTAAATATTCAAAACAGTAGAAAGAAATATCACAATTTTACTAAAAGCAGAAATATCACATTTATTTCTAATAATTTGATAGTATCTAATATTATCTAACAATGGCCAAGAAAAATAAATAAATTTATTTTTCTAAGAATTTACATCATTTAAAATTTCTAACATGGATAAAATATCACAATTTTTATTAAAAAGATTATTTTTCAAGATAATGAGGTCGTGTGCGCATAAAATTTATCGCATCTAAAATTCATGATAATAAGCAGAAATAATTATTTCATTTATTTTTAAAAAGAATGGATATTTTTCG